GTGTGTGTGTGTGTGTGTGTGTGTGTGTGTGTGTGTGTGTGTGTGTGTGTGTGTGTGTGTGTGTGTGTGTGTGTCGGCCATTTAAAGGCTCTCCTTGTGGTACTTTGTGCCCTCCAACATCCTCCCAGTCTCCTCTGCTCCAAGCTGAACTTTGTTCCCATCAGAAGCTGCAGCAGCAGCAACAAGTCAGCTCAGCTTTCAGTGCAGGTCTGGAAGAAGGAAAAAGAGTAAAGAACAGGAGACACAGCAGTTTCTCTGTCTCCGTCACCTCACCTGTCATTTCCCCTGATCTCAACTTCTTTCAGTTTGTTGAAGGAGCACATTCACCTCTCAACCACTGAGGGTCTCTGTTTACATCCCAGTTTGCACAAAACAAACAATACTGAAGGAGCAGAAGATAAACACAAATCACATTAATCWCCTCAGCTTTGATATTTTAAAAACTTTACCCTGCTCGCTCTCTTCGGCTGTTATTGCCCCTCAGTCATCRGCAGGTGTTGAAACAATGTTTCTAYGACACAATCAGCAACGAGAACGTGATAAAGCTGATGAAAATATTAAAAAGTATTTTTGTTTCTGGGCAAGAAAATAATAGTGTGTAAATATTTCACTGGTGAATAAGCCATATGAGTATATCACAAAGAGCCAGAGTATTTAACCCCTAAAACAAGCTCAGTATGACATAAGCGTCTAACACTACTAAACAAGGTTAAACTCTCTCCTGCCTCCARTCAGCTGGTTTTACCACTTTGAGTAAAATGTTTTGTTTTTTTGTCCTGTATAAATGACCTCTGCAAAAACAGAAAAAAGTTTTGTTTAAAATATATATTTCCTTTTATGAATCTAAAGTCAAAAATGCATCAGCTTCCTTCTGTCATTTCATCTGTGAGWGATATGTGTTACATCTACTCTGCAGGCTTTTAATTTGAAATCATGCAGAAACTCAAAGCTTTTCTGTGTAAGGAGTCACAGTCTTTCCTTTAAACCAGTGTTTCCCAAAGTTGGGGTCGGGACCCAAAGTGGGGTCCCGAAACATCAAGGTGGGGTCCTGAAAAGATTTTCTGAATTAATTACATTTTTGCCTTAGTTGGTACAGAGTGAAGTTAGTATATTTAAAATGGATAAATGTAGTATAAAAATGTTGTTACCATGCCCATGTTTTGTTGACCTGATACAAATGTTTATCATCCAAAAATAACTGGGGGCACAGGTCTCTTCTACTGTTATTTTGTGGGTCAAAAGCTGAAAAGTTTGGGAACCACTGCACTTTGGTTCCCARAGTTGRGCTTGGGACCCAATTATGGGTCATGAAGCACCTTGGATAATCTCCAGAAATCARTTTAAAGGRTAATAAAATAATWGCTGWTGTAATATTTTCCCTATAATTATTACGAAAAACACAAAATAAGTAAAAATAAGTATTTATATTTGTGTATACATGGTTTAGATTGTCAAACAGCCTGTGTTTTTAGGGTTATTAACAAAGTTTGTGTACTCAGACCAGTAATATTTGGGGTCACAAGTTTTTGCCATGGATATTTTGTGGGTCAGAAGACAAAAAGTTTGGGAACCACTGCTTTAAACCACCTGTGACTGGAGGGTTTGAGCCCCATCAGTGCAGCAGGGGTCCAGTCCAGTGACCTCAGCATTCAGGATTTGATTTAAAGCGGGGGTGGGGGGGTGCCTGAACTTTTTTTTATTACCAACTTATCAGGATACCTTTGAAGATTGTAGTTTGCCAAGATCTAATTGTCTAGTTTCARTATGAAATCATTAAAATCCTAATCCCAGGTAAACTGGATTATYAGATTGTCACCTCCCCATTTAAAACAATGAAGAAAACTGAAAAACAACAACAACAACAAAAAAAAAACAATTTCCTAACCTAAACTCTTGACAAAAAAAAGAGCAGAAAACTGACGATAAACAAAAAATGTCTACTTTTCATTCCTCCTGCATTTAGTGGCTCAATATTTACAAACAATTCTTTAGATTAGAGATGAACCAGTTCTAGTTTTCTGGGCAAACACTGATTTTCTCTTTCAATGAACTAACCTGTGTAAACTCTTGCATTCAAGATTATCTGCTGTCTTCAAACAGATACATTCTCCATAAACAAACAAACAAAATATAAACTTCTACACTGTTGCAAACTCATCAGTAAGAAAAAAAATGCTATTAACTGTTCTAAAAGTCCCTAGATGATTTGCATATTTGGTCATTTCAGTGAAATCCTGATCCAGGATGCAGAAGAAATAAATTATGTTGGAGAGAAACTGAGGGAAAACACTAAATGTTTAGAACTGCAACTGAACTTAATAAAATTATGACTAATAATTTGCCTAAAACCACATACCTTTAATTTTTTTACTGTTTTGTTTCATATATAAAAATAATATCCTGCAGTTGGAAATTATAGGAACACTTTAATTTACATCTGTGCATTTTTACTCCAATGTGGTTYAAGTTTGTCTATTTGTAAATGGTTCAAAATGTGTCCAAATACTACATACTATAATAAGTAGTCCAAAATGAGTACAAATACCACATATTAAGTGGTCCAAAGAGTCACTCATAATGACAAAAAATACCACATACTGATGGTAATACTTACTATGGACGACCTATGTGGTATTTTTTGTCATAATTGGAGGACTTTCTTAATATCATGTGGTATGTGGCATCCCTGAAATTCTCCTCTGCAGGACAATAAAGTCTGTTTCTATTCTATTGTTTGGGACTGTGTGGGGATTTCAGGATCTCTGGGTCAGAGTATTTTGTTGAAGAAAATGATAACTCAGAGCTGGAAGCCTCTTAATGACACAAAGGCTTTGTTCACTGGCTGAAATTATTCATGGACATTACATATCTGGAACTGCGATCAGCAAGGATTAATGGTGCAGCTTCAGATACCACTGAATCTTTAACAGGCTAAATAAATTAACTTAAGAGACTTCTTTGAGCAGCACTGTGTTTAAGCAGGACCATCAGGATGGTGGTCCCTGAGGAGCAGCTTCCAAAAAACCTAGACTCAGATGTATACTGAGTACGACCCCTAACCCACACCAKAACCTGAATGGACAGCTAGATCACCTGAATCAAGTGGCGGCTCCTTGTCAGATGAAGACCGCCATGATCCGACACGAYGAGCTCATCCTTCTGTCTTGTGGATCTCAGAGCAGAATTTGTCACGACCGATCAGACTGGAAAATAAGTGGAAGTGAGTTCAACTGGTGAGGATTTGTCTCCCTCTAGTGGTCAAAGGAAACAACAAACAATACATTATGTTACAACAAATTAAATTTTATGTTGGCATAAAATACATTTTATTTGGTTATGTGAGGACGTGGATGAGAGTTCTGGGGAACAGAAGCACAAACACGAATCATGTTTAACATAATTTATATTTATTTTCTTCTGAACAAAATGTTAATAAATGTATTTGTTTTACGTCCAAAAAAGATCATGACTTGAGGGACGCATTTTTTATAAATAATTTCATCCAAGTCTTTTGTAGAAAAAAAAGAAAGGAAATTAGCAAACTAAAGCATCTCTAGTATGACAATATGACAACTTTTATATTTATTTTTTTCTATATTTGAACCCTTTCCGTCTTTTCAAAGCTTCGTCTTTTATATATTTATAGATATATATTTTAAAGACCTCTTTGTGTTGTCCCCTTTTATGCAGTCCTACTCATCAACTCACAACACTGCTTTAGACAACAGAAAAATGTGGCAAAAATCTCAAAGAACAGACGAGAACGAAGGAGGCGAACAGAAAACACGATGAGATTCCAACGGGGGGAGCGGGCAGGTAAGTCGGGACAGAGGTGAGGGGGTAATGTCGGGGCCTTCCACATCCTCTGGACATATTTACAACAGAAAGGACAGGGTGGGGGGTGAGACAGTGGTGGCAAAGGTGAGAGTTTGAGGCGGGGTTCATCTGCATAGATCCACAGGACGCAATCAGCTAAAGAAAGACGAAGACACAGAGCAAAGCGTGGGTTTGCTGCCGTCACGGCTCATAAATAAAAATCACCGGTTAGAGAAAGGAAGGAAGAAAAATGGGAGTTAAATCATGGACCGTGAGGCGAACGGCGGACTGGATGCAGAGCAAATTAAAAMGCGGGTTTGAAGCGGAGGTGAACAGAGGGGAGCCAACGCACTCTTCTCCAAACTCTGTCTTCAGCTCATCATCTGAGCAGAAATAATAAATAACACAAAGCCTCGTTAGGAAGAGTTTACCTACGTTAGCTTTCAGAAACGTGTTAGCTCGTTGGATTGTGTTTTAACTCGAGGCAAATTTGGTTTTCTGTTTCTTAAAGAAATCAAAATAAAAAAGAGGGAGTGATGCAGTAGCAGATGTTTCCTAAAAGAAACAAAAGTAAAGACAAAAACAAACCCAATGAATAAGCCCTTAAAACTCCTCCCACTCCTCGCACACCGACTCTTCGCTGGTCTGTGATGGTTAGAAACTGATCAGCTGGTTGAAGATTGAAGAGTCAGCGGTTTGTTTGATTGATTGATTAACGGGTCACTTTGCACCTAATCGGTGATACTAAAATACATCGTAGTGACAAACCCAGGACTCTTTTTTAAATTATTTATTATCTTATTTTTGTTTTATTGCCAGAATCTGCCTCTTTCAGTTTGTTGGCCTGAGARGTGCTCAAACATCCAGGAGCCTCAGTCATCAAGAAGTTTCCCCAGAGACCAGGAAGGACTGAAGATCCTGTCCTGGATGAACATAAATGGGTCCAAACTGAGTTCAGAGGAAAGGTTATGATGTTTCATGAACTGCTTTAAAGAAGCTTCTACTGAAAATTAGTCAACGCTTTGTGTTGTTGTAGTCAACGCTCAAGTTGTGGTAGTTTTCTTTTTTTTAAGTCGCATTTTATCATCAAGCTCCACCCAAATTTATTCCCTTATCCTCCTGCTGCCCTTGGGTCMAAACAACCCACCAGGCCTTAAAGTGGCATTTCCTTTAAATATAAAAAAAATGGAAGAAAACATCCTAATTTTACCCATTCTTTCACAAAACTGAAAGTTTTTTTTAACTTCTCTCTTATAATGACTTTAAATAATAATAAAAGTTGGTGCCGTTAGCCATTGTAGCTCTGTTTCTATGTGGGCACTTCCTGTTTCTGCACATTCAAATATTTCAAAACTGTCTCAGCTGCATGTTCTTTTTTTTCTTTTTGTAATATGTTACTGATAGTATTTTTTCAAAAACGCACTTGAATTTATCTCAAATATTTGAGATCACAGGTACTTTCAGACAATGGTTAGAGCAGCTTTTACTGAAGATGGTCCAGTACGCAACAAGTTTTAGTACCGGTTCTTTTTTGTAAGTCACATTTTATCATCATGCTCCAACCAATCCTATTTTTATATTTTTATTTTCAGGCCTAAAAATATCAAGTGAAACTAAYGATGAGTTGTTTTTGACACAGAATAAACCGGACGGTGTAAAGAGTGAACAAACACCTACTGATCTGCAATTAAATAAATCAATAAAATGAATAGAAACACACCAAGTAGCCGTCTAGAGACAAAACGTCACTAAAACTAAGTCAGACTGTTTGGACACAAAGACTAAATGTAATTTTAAAGGACTCAAGTAAATCTAAAGCTTTTTTATTATTATTGTTTTAAACTTTTTACTTCCCATGTAAGTTTTGTTGTTTGAGAACCACTGCTTTAAGCAAATAATCTGCAATAATCTAGTGGAAATAAATCACGAGTGAATTTTTRAATTAATGAGGAGCAGCAACTGTTGACAGGTAAACTCATTACTTGTAAATATTTCCTATTAAAACAAAACAAAAAAAAATACCACATTTCATCCTTTTCCCTGAGTTTTGTTTTGTTCTAACTCGTGTTGACCAGCAGGACAATTTCACTTCTGCCTTAAATAGTTGTGGTCTCAAACCTTTTCACTCTATAACTCATTCATTCATCATCTTGACATCATTGAAGCTAAAATTCAAGATATTCCAACTTCAGTCTCCGTTTAAGACTATTAACAATGAGTCTACCAAGTTTTGCTCCTTAAAAATAAAATAAATGKWTTTTTTTTCACTTGRTTGATGAATGAGGCTCCTGATGTTCTGGCTTTTGGCAAACTCTCGTGTCCCTGGGTTGTCCCTTCAGTCTCATGTCCTGACAAATCCCAACCGATGCTTTGCGGCACAGTTAGGACGAGTCATCGCACCTGTCCTGACCTTTGTATGAGGTAAACTGAACGTTTCAGAAACACCAGAACTTCCCGCTTCCTGTCAGAGCGCCGCACCATGACCGAGCTCGAATCCTACCAACGCCCTGAAGTTGTCGCCGCCATTTTTCTTTTCCTTACTACTCCTAACTTAGCTCAGCAGGACGAACAAAGTAGAGGAGAAAGCAAGCCGGTTCTCAGAGCACTTAAGGTCCAAAAAATGCTTAGGCATGTACCGTCGTAGGGGGTGCAAGAAAAGGTCCAGTAAGAAACAAAAACAAAACAAAAACAGAAATACAAGCCAAACATCGGGACACAGAAAAACCACACACGTTTTGTTTTCAGAAAAGCAAGACCCACGACGAGTGATGGACGAGCCGATACCATCGGGCCCTCGAGCAACATCACACAGAACGTACTAAAGAAGACGCCTCTAAGGTGGTGAAGAGTAAGAAGTGGAACACAGTCGATATGTCAAAACATTCTGGCACCTGGAAACAAACAACAACAAAAAAAGTGCAGCAAAAATCTAAAGGTAATGATAAGTTGGCATGCAAACGTCATCAGTGTTTCTATCCGACATGCCACCCATCCAGACTCTGAGAACGAAGGAAGGGAAAGGTGGGACAGGAAGGAGAGGAAGGGACGATATCCTAGAAAACATTTGGATGGGATAGAAACAATGAGCAGGTTTTCAAGTGGCAAGAAGTCAGTCCTTTTAGGGGAGGATCCTCAAACATCTYGGTTGGGTCGATGTTTAGTCCCAGCACCCTCAGCTCCAGTTCAAACCCTCCCACTTCCTGTGATGGATGGTTTTGTTGGCAGCAGATTGTAGTGACATCTCCAGCACAGATGTATCCCAGCAAGCCTCAGCCCTGCTCCGGTGACACCTAATTCTTTGTAAGCTCCAACCTTGGTTTTGAAACCACCCCGCCCAACCCGGTTAACTCCTCGCTTGACGCGCCCTCTTCCGGCGAAAAAATGGCAGCCACGTCCAGCAACGTGGAATTATGAGAGGCTGAAATGATGATGACAGTGTGTAGGAGAACAAGGGCCAGCAGGCAGATCTTCAGTCGCCCACTGCACAGTCTTGGGGCGGCGGCTGAAGTGACTGAGGCCCCCTCGGGTTGGCAGGAAGAAGCAGTCCTTTTGAGTGTGGCGCCTGAGGGGCTGTCCATTTTGGAGTCCCATCGTACGTCGCAGCACTCCGCCTCGCCGTCTGATGGATGATCACCCAGGAGCCCTGAAAAAGAGATCAGACAGCATGAACATGTGGCCTTTTTTCAGCCCTGAGTTCCTACAGATCATGTTTTACTATGTTTATCTGTTATATTGTACCGCATGTTAACATGTGTGGTTCCTAAACTACACCGAATAAAGGTACAAATCAAAACCAGAAGCTAGAAGAGAAACCTGTGAAGCTCCTTGGACTAGAAAGTCAATAGAACATGGCAATCTACGGAGAGTTTAAGTAGCAACAAGGTTCCTGTTCGTGCCCTCTGGACACCTGAGTAATGTGTCTTGATCCAACCGTCTTGTAGCGAGTTGTCCTGCTGCCTGAAGAAGACTCTGCCAACAGTGTCTCCATGGAAATAGTGTGAGTTACCAATGTCCAGCTCTGGGATTTGGTGTGAGGTGGGAAGATCCAGACCAATGGTGACCAGTCATGGTCCTTAAGGGCTACTAATACCTGAAMCATCAGTGTCCAATCCTAGTTCTAGAGGGTCATTATCCTGCATGTTTTTCTTGTTTTTCTGTTCTTCAGCAGGTCTTCCAAGTTCTTCAGAAGCCTGACAATCACATCACTCATTCAGATCAGGTGTGTCAAAGCAAAGAAACATCTAAAGCAAACAGGATGATGGCCCTTGAGAACCAGTATTAGACACCACTGGTTCAGATGTTAATGGCCCTTGAGGACTAGGCTTAGACACTCCTAATTCAGGTATTAGAGGCCTTCGAGTACCAGGATTGGACCCTACTGGGTTAGGTGTTAGTGGCCCTCGAGTACCAGTATTAAACACCACTGGTTCAGGTATTAGTGGCCCTTGAGGACCAGGATTAGACACCCCTAGTTCTGGTATTAGTGGTCCACGTCGACTAGGATTGGGCACCCTCATTCAGGTATTAGTGGTCCTCGAGGACCAGGATTAGACACCCCTAGTTCAGGTATTAGTGGCCTTCGAGGACTAGGATTGGACACCCCTAGTTMAGGTATTAGTGGCCCTCGAGGACTATGATTGGACACCTATATTTCAGGTAGTGGTCCTCAAGGACTAGGATTGGACACCTCTAGTTCAGGTATTAGTGGCCCTCGAGGACTATGATTGGACACCCATAGTTCAGGTAGTGGTCCTCAAGGACTAGGATTGGACACCTTTAGTTCAGGTATTAGTGGCCCTCGAGGACTAGGATTGGGCACCCTCATTCAGGTATTAGTGGTCCTCAGGACCAGGATTGGACACCCCTAGTTCAGGTATTAGTGGCCCTCGAGGACTAGGATTGGACACCCATATTTCAGGTATTAGTGGTCCTCAAGGACTAGGATTGAACACTCCTAGTTCAGGTATTAGTGGCTTTCGAAGACTAGGATTGGACACCCTTAGTTCAGGTATTAGTGGCCCTCGAGGACTAGGATTGGACACCCATATTTCAGGTATTAGTGGTCCTCAAGGACTAGGATTGAACACCCCTAGTTCAGGTATTAGTGGCCTTCAAGTACGAGGATTGGATACCCCTGATTCAGGTATTAGTGTCCCTCGAGTACTAGGATTTGACCCTACTGGTTCAGGTATTAGAATGGCCTTTGAGGACCAGGACTCAACACCACTGATTCATTAACATAATATCAAAACCTTTGCCATGACACCAAACACAATAAGAAGGGATTTTCGGCCACAGAAAATTTGTCAATTTAAAAGGATTATTTTTGAAGACAATGTTTTAATATGTTTGGTGTAAAGGTAGATTAGGAAGATTTTATGCTGTTCAGTTATCAGGCTCATTAGATGGTGTCTGTATGGACTTATTTTTATGCAAACCTCAATTAAAGATCAACATTTTTATGTGTTTTTGCAATCTGAGATCATTCTAGCACAGGTCAAATGTCTTGTACAATTCAACAGAAAAATAAAAATATCTTAGCAGAAACATTAAGAATACCAAACGCTACAGTATACGTTTGCAAACCCTGAAACTAATACTTCATGAGATGCATCTTTCAATTCAAATACAGCTTCTGTCCTGTTGGGAACACACCTCTGACCTAAAAGTTCAACTGTTATTTCATTTAATCAGCTGCAGAAAAGCCGCAGCTAAAAGCTCACATTAAAAGGTGAGAAACCTGCCATTTTTACAACTTTCTTCATGCACTGTACTTCATGAAAGTTAGGAAAATTACCTTGTTCAAGTCAAAAAACCAAAAGTTTCTCTAAGGTTGAGATTTGACCCATGGCTGCCCATCTGTTTTGAGGGTTTCCAAACGTTTCATTGACCTCAGGGTCAAACTCAGCTGGACTGGAAAGAYGGTGAATCATCGCTGGACAAGTTGGTGCCTCTTAAGTTCTATAGGAGATTAAAGGAGCTCTAATCTACTCTGAGGAGATGTGGTAGCTCAATCTATCATTCAAGTTTTACTCCAAAGATAATAATTTGGGTCTTTGTTTTTTGAAACACAACAAAATACTGAGATTTTCATGAGGCGTTGGACCTCAAAACTCACTTTAAAAGTCTCTAATTTCTAAACAAACCCTAAAAGAACTAAAATAAAAATTTGGAATGTTTCGTTTCACTTAAGCATAGCATCTCAACCTAATGAGTTTTGAAACAGCCATTAGTTTGTCTTTCCCAAATTAACCCCAAAACTAACATAAAACAATGCAAAAACCCAAATCCACATAATGAGACGAACAGAAATAAAATTAGAGAAAACAAATATTCACTGCTATTTAAGCATTTTGTTGTTTTAATTTGTAATTCTGTACCTAAAGATACATTAGTTTAGGACTCAGGTCCTTACATTAGACCCGGACTTGTTGCTGTCAGTACAGAACAAACTTTAATAAATCAACACCTCACACTTTCATAAAAACAGGATTAATTTAAAACTGACCACAAATGTAATAATTATCACAATAAAGTAATGATTTCAGTTCATTTGATAATTCAAAGAGACAAGATCATTATCATTGTTACTTTTTATCTAAAATTTATCGACTGTCTTTATAGATGTTGGTGTTAAGTTCAACACATTAGATCAGTGGTTCCAAAAGTTGGAGTCGGGACCTTTCCATGGGTCCTGAAACATCAAGGTAGTGCCAGGCGGYATACCGTTTTGTACCGAATACCGGTTTTTTTTTTTTGTTATGATATTAATTTTTTTGAATACCAGACATTCCAGTTTAAATAGCGGAACGTTTCGTCGCGGCCACCAGTGAACTGTTGTTTCCCGGAGGACATTTTTCCTTGCTGCACCGCTATGTGCATTAGCATGCTAATGTTTGGAGCAGCTTGTTGCAGCCGCGGGCAGCGATTCTGCTGCTTATATTGACTGACGTTTAAAAAAACATCCCGTTTTCGCCATCGCTGAATGTAGTAAACACCTCTTCAGTGACGTGCACAGTTAGATTTAACGCGGTTAGTTAATATGGAGACTTTATGCTGATGGAGACTTAACGTGGTTCTATTGTGAAAAGCCYGCAGGAAGTAGTTCGTAGTGGAGTTGGAATTGACTGGTGTGCAAGGTGAGTCGTGCTGATAAGCTTTAATAAATAACATAAAATAAACCCGAACATAATCTTTTCTTAACCCTCCTCCTTCACGACTGGACCAAAATGCGTGACTACTGTCTCCAACCACCAGTCAGAGAAGAACAGACAGAGGAGGGAAACAACGACACAGACAGAGGTACAGTAAAAGAAAAAAGGTAATAAGCAGGGTTTGTACATTTTATTATCAGCTGAGCTGTGATGAAAAGAAAAATACCGTCAAATAGTGTGAAACCGGTGAAAATGTTGAAAATACCGTGATATAAAATTTTGATCATATCGCCCAGCTCTACATCAAGGTTTTCAGATTCAGAAGAGAATTGCTTTTATTTGTTATTGTACAGAGGACAATGAAATTATGTTTCGGATAAAGCCATCCAAGAGAGACAAAACACAAATTACATACATGGGGWCAGGTGCCCGGGGCCACAGCCATAGAAAGGCACTGCCCTTATCAAAATTACATTTAAAAATGACCACTAACAGTTTGTCTTAATTGTTACAAGAGAGTGAGTTTGGTATACTTAAACATGGAAAATAGCGTTATAATTATTGATACTATACCAACCAACCAAAAACTGTTCAGGGGATCAATCCAGATGTTGTYATTGATACCAACATCCTGCAGATTATTCTCTTGAGTCCCATGCACCCAGTACCAGGGCCAAACAGCATTTTACGATTTCTTTGAACTTCTGTTAACTTAAGATCTGTCAAAGAAATAGAAAATGGAAAATGCTGTTTGCCCCCGCGGACGTGTGGCTCAGGAGGTTGAAGCTCAGAACTCAGCTCATCTTCAGCAACAGAAGTCCATCTGCACCGTTTGTTTTAAACTTTYTACATTCATCATGTCCTGATGCCCGGGACACTAACACGGTGGTACCAAAGTGCTGAATCTGATCCAGACTTGAGTTTGTTTCTACTTTTTAGTCGCATTCTGCACCTGAGTAAAGCAGGAAGCAGCAAAGTGYAAACACTGGACCAAACAATCACAGCAGAGCTTTGATTGGACAACTACTTTAGAACCAATCCACACATGCCAACATGTTAGCATCCATGTTTCCTTCTGTAAACACAGGGACTGTTGGGAGTCTGACAGACTTTAAATTAAAACCTCAACGAAGCTRAAAACATAAGATTTGAGCTGTAAGACCTGCAGGACGAACGTAGCCTGAGACGAGTTTGAAAAATCTGCAACTATTAAATGGGGTGTGATTTGTTCCAGTAATTTTGCATATCAACATTGAGGAAATTGGCACATTTGAACTAMTCACAAGCAGAACAACTTCTAGCTCAGATCCAGATGTTGTAAAGGCACACAACAGGACAAACCACGTGATTTTTAAATAAAAATAAATGCAGAAACAAGTTTAATTGATGCCTTTTTGTTGTTTTTGTAACACCGCAGTTCTTAAACAGGACACTAGATGTCATCAGAACGCCTTCAGAAACAAATGTTTTTCTTGATGGAGACCACCTCCTTATCAGATGAATGAATGAATTCCCTGCATCCTTTATGAAATGATTCCCTCCCTTAGAAATTAGAGTTGTTTTTTTTTTATTTTACTTTTTTTCAGCTAAAGAAGAGAACACAAGGCCGCTCTAACGCCCACACATGCAAACACTACATGCGCTCGAAGGCGGCGGCGGGTAATAACCTGTGCAGATGAAGCTGGGGTTTCCTCCGTGGATCAAGTCGTCGTTGTCGGGCAGGATGAATGGACAGCTCTGCTGGACCTCCAGGCAGTACTGGTGACATGGCATCTTCCTCTGACACGACTGCAGGATGGTGGGGAAATACTGAGCACAGAGCCAGGGCTTGTAGGCCATCTAAGGAGGAGGAAGAGGAGAGAAAATGACATAAATAGATGCAGATCCATGATCCTCTGTAAGACTGGTGGAAGTTCTTTGGCTCTGCTGGGTCTTAGGCCTCTCTGTGTTAATAGTGAATAATTTACTTATTTAAACAAGCATCAAATACAAATGTTTTAATGACCATTTAATTTAAGGAAAGTCAAAGAGGTATCTCTTATGGAAGCTAACACCTTAAACAAACTTCAGCTCGTGTTCGGTGTGGAATCATGTGAGACAGGAAGTGAAAACGAACGCTGTGTCAGGAGACAGATGGCGACATGGAAGCATCAACGCATCGGGATCAGAAAGCTTAGCAAAACTACAATCAGGGCCAAACCAAAGTCTGGAAGTAGCCAGAAATTTAGCTGTTTCTTTCTGAGCCTCCTAGTTGTTCAGCTGCAACATTCCTCAAGCATCCAGCAGAAATATTTCAACCTGTTTGAAACAACCTGGGTTGGTTGAACAGTAATAGTCTGATGTGCTGTGAAGCCAACAAACTCTTATCTTTAAAACCATACTGACACAACTCATTCTTTAGCTTTACAAACATATATTTGTTGAAATACACACACTAATGAAAAGAATAATTCACAGATGAAAAATAATGTTACTGGAAAATTATAGTCTACAGTAATCTAAAAAACAACCACTGATTTAAGTTCAAGCAAAGTCAGGAAATTGGCAAACATTATAAAATCAATATACAATCGTTTCTGTTTCAGTTTGGCACACAAGTCAAGCTGTCATTGGGGAATGGACAAAAACAAACAATCTACAGGTGCCTATAAAAATATTAAGGTGCAACGAGAATTATTATTACAGGTTTATTATGTCAGTACAGATATTTAGTGTTAACTATTACATTTGTTGACTTTTTATGCTAATTCTCAACAGTCTACAGCTAAGCTAGCAGCTAATAGATACATTAACTTATTATAAAAATGCTAAAGTTTAGCAGGTATAATGTTAGCCACTACATGCTTAGTCTAAACAGTCTATAGCTGGACGACCAATTAATGTATACATTTTTTACTATAAAAATGTTAATGTTTAGCTGATATTTAGCAGGTTGTAGAATAATAGTAATCACTATATGCTATTCTCAACAGTCTACAGCCAAGCTAATAGCTTATCTGAGATAAATTTGCTTATCATCCATCCATCCATCCATCCATCCATCCATCCATCCATCCATCCATCCATCCATTCATCATCCATCCATCATCCATCCATCCATCCATACATCTATCCATCCATCCATCCATCCATCCATTCATCCATCCATCCATCCTCTTAACCCCAGGGTTCCTACAGTTTAAGGAAAGTTAAATTTAAGACTTTTTAAGACTTTTTAATGCCAAGTGAAATCAAATTTAAGACCAATTTCAAAACTAACACAAATGACAAAAAATTAAAACTTGGCAGAAACTCATGAATCAAAGTATTTTTGGTTGAATTATTTAAATACTGCTAATAGACCGATTATTTTTTTATCCATATCTAACTGTTATTTTGTCAAATAAAGCTAAAAGAACATTCTTAGCAGTCTAAGAATAGACTGTGCCTGTGATGTAAAATGTTTGTAAGAAATATGAATGCATTTTTGGAAAGACAACATTATC